AATATTGAGAGAAAATATTTTATAATTGTTTTAAACTTAATTATTGTAATTAATATGGTAAGTGTGTAATGAAAAATTAAATAATTTATTAATTAATATGATAGAATATTAGTTAGTATTTAAATTTGCTTAAATTAATGTTTGTGATGAAATTCACGTCGTTTTATGATGTAGTGTGTAATTTTATAAATTTGATTTAAATTTATTAATATGTAAAATTTAGCAAGCATAATACATTATTAGTAGAAATTATTTAATAAATTAATTAAATTAGAAAAGAATATGCTTAGAATATTCTTTTAGAGACGAATTATAGAGGGAATGAATTGAAGTAGCTGGTACTGTTGAAACTGTATAACTAGTGAGATTTTACTGTAGAAACTGTATGTATGCTCTAAGCTAGCTTTCCAAGTTCCAACCATTATTTGCCCCCTATCAAAATATCGGTTCTTCTCAATTTCTCGGTGGCTGCCAAAACCCTTCCGAGCTTCGCTCTCTGTTTCCGATTTTCTCAACAATGCAGCAGGTAAACGTGAAAAAATGCCCCCAATTGTGTAATACTGATTCGAAGTGAACTGTTGAAAGTCTGTTGTTTTAATTCATTTTTGCATTTAAACTTCTCATATTTCTCCGCCGCTTCAAGGCTGGATCGTCGGGGTCGGAGGCTGAAGTGACGTGGGAAGATCAGCAGAACATCAACAAGTTCGGAAGATTGAATAATCGGCTCCACGACCTCGACGATGAAATCAAGATTGCCAAGGTTAGGTTTTTCTCCCTCATTTAGTCTCCATTATCCTCTTTTTACATCTGTAACTGGGACCCTTTGTTTAATATTTGCTAGTGGGCCTTGGGATGAAGTGATTTTCCTATGCTTGTTATGTTTCTGGCTCTGGCAGAGGCTCTGGATGCGTACTCTGCTCTAGTAGATTGCTTGAAATTGTGTGGTAATGTATTTGTCAAAGAAAGAATGACTTGGATAGGAGCACAGTTTTCGACCACTTCAGAAAACGTACTGCGTTTTCCAGATGATGGTTGATGTTTAACGATTGAAGTTGTGTTTTGTTAATGAAAAGTTTGATAGGATATGTGGTTTATTGCACTGATCTTTTAAGATGGCGTCTGAAGGGAAATATTTACTTTCTTATCAATTCAATCAGGAGGATTATTGAAATAAAAGGATCCGATGCATCTGATAGTGCGGTTTTGCAACATCTGAAGTGATGATACCAATTTTACAATTTGCTTGAAGTTCAATTATATTATCTGTTACTGTTGCTATGTGAAACTTGAAATGTGCTATTAGGATGATGTAGTGAATTTCGGAACCCGTCTGAAATAACTGCCTCTGCGTGTTTTTTACTTGTCGTGGAAATGCTAATTCATACTGGAGAAAGTTCTTGAAGATAAGCGGATGACAATCTAGCAGTGTTTGGTCTGCATCTGCATTAAAATTATGCCTTATAGGTTAAGATTGTATATTGTGCTTGTCTTAAAGCTGATTTACTAAAAGCTGATGTGTTATAGGCAAGATTATTCACTTGGTGACAGAGAACTTTGAGGCCTACTTTTTCATATTTTGGTAATTGTAATGTTCTAGAACTTTACCTACTCCCAAATGTGGAGAGCTATGCTCACAGACAACATTAATTCTTGATTGACAACAAATGTTCCGTGTACTTGGGTTTTCCGACCTTTCCTCTTCCCTAGGAGTGCTGCTTTGTTTTGTGGGTGGGGTAGGGGTTGCAAATAAAGTGTCCTCAGGTTTAACCGAGAGAACTGTAAAATATTGCTACAAAAAGGTAACTGGTAATATAGTATAAAATATCAAAAAGGTATTTGTAAGTTTGAAAGATAGCTCAAACTTTTTATCGGTTGACGAAAATGTAAACCGGTTAATTTTGTAGCAAGTTTTAATCTCATTCAAGGTGTGGCTCACACTTCCAGTTATTGCTCAAATGACACACTTCCTTCCAAACTTCATGTTTGACCTTACACATCATATGCCAATCTTATATGTGCTTCTCGCTTCTAATTTGGTCAGGAAAACAATGAAAGTCTTGAGGATGCAAGTAACGAACTGATCCTTACAGATGAGGAGATTGTGCGCTTCCAAATAGGTGAGGTGTTTGTTCATGTGCCCAAAGATGAAGTGGAGAGCAGGATTGAAGATATGAAGGATGTGACGAGCAAGAACTTGGAGAAGCTGGAGGAGGAAAGGGAGTCCATTGTTGCTCAAATGGCGGAGTTGAAGAAGATTCTGTATGGCAAATTTAAGGATTCCATCAATCTTGAGGAGGATTAGATGAAAAAACGATGGGTGATGATGGTGTTGCAGTTTTTAAGCTGTTTTTGTCTTTGCTTGGGCAATTGGTTTTGTCTGTTGAAACTTCAGTTATTCATCATCAGTTGGGTTTGAATGTTTATTGTTTCTATAATTGGTTCACTTATCGTTTACACTAGGATGGTTAAATGTGGACAGATAGTCTTCATTGTATGAGTAAATCATATGTTACTGGCCTTTTAGGTTGAAGATGCTTGTAGTTTTGATATTATATTATGAAGTAACATATAACATCAACTATATTGTCTCTTATTTAGTAAAATGTGTATCCATAGTTTTCTCTTGTTGAAGTAACATATATTTTTTTATATTGATTTAACAATAACAAGGATGGTGGGGATGCAAGAATGCCACTATGTTGAGTTTAAAAAGAGTAAGGATGGTATTTGGATGTGGAGATATGTTAAGGGATAGAAAAAAATGTCAACCCTCTTTATATTCCTGACAACATTTCATTCTTGGAGTTGGAAGATGCGGTCCTGAAGCTCATAATGTTTGATAGCATTTCACATGCAATAGAAGAGCAATTGTTCTTGGCACTTGAGGGCGGAGAAGACAAAAAGTTGTGAAAAATTTTTAAGTTCATAAGTATGTTAGTAACCACACTTGTTCTATGAGTGTTTGTGGAAAATATCACAAGCATGCAGTGTATACGTTGATTGAAAAGCACATTTTTTTAAAAGTATGGGCAGATGAGATTCAACAGTTAGGGATTGTGATGGAATGGCGAAATCGGCAGATCGAGAGAGCTGGTTTTATCTGGAAAATAGTTATACATAAAAACAATATACAAACACTTGTTTATTTATTTATTTATTTTGTTACATATGGCCATTATTTATTTATTTTTTTGGTACAATAGAAGAGGCTAAGCGCCTAAGAGGTGATGGTGGAGATGGTTCGTGCATGTGCCACGCCAACGATATCGTGATGTAGCCATGGACGAACACCCTCCGGCGGAGCGTTGAAGAATCAATATCCCAAAGGGCCTTCCGCTGCGAAGGAGGCCATAAAGTCGGCCGCGTAATTTGCCTCACGGAATACATGTTGTACTTTCACTTCCCAAGGACGACTCAAAAAAGTTCCTTGATTCCCGACACTAACTCCATATGCACGCCCGGAACATCATCAAGAGATTGAGCAAAGGCCACCACACTTGCATTGTCAACCTCCACTTCCACCTGTCGATACCCCAGCTCCCAAGCGAGTGAGAGGCCTTGAAAAAAACCCCATAATTCTGCCGCCATGATCGAGCATAGGCCTATGTGCATTGTTAATCCGCGGAGCCAGTGCCCTTGCTCATCCCGAATCAAGCCCCCCGCACTCCCCATGCCAGACGACGGATTAAACGAACCATCCGAGTTAATTTTAACCCGGCCTGATATAGGCCTTTCCCAACTGATCCATTGAGATATTATACTTCACACTAACATGACTATGCTCGTGGTCAAAATTAACCTCCTTACCTAATTTTGACTGATTTTTGTGTGTAAAGTCTGAAAGGCCCTCCTTCGTGTTCCCCATTTGCCCTAAGTATCAGCAGCTGCATTATGAAGAAAGTCAGTCAGTCTCCACGCCGGAAACCACCATAATGCCACTATTTTCCTCCTCACTCCTCAAACCTTTCTCCACACCGTTGCCTCGATACCCGCTCCAAATCCACCGGAAAACCCTATACTCAGTCGCGGCCGTCCAGATGAGCTCCAAGGAGGCCAAGCTATGGGGAGGACGGTTCGAGGCCAGCACCACCGACGCCGTCGAGAAATTCACCGAGTCAATCTCATACGACAAGGCGCTCTACAAGCACGATATCATGGGAAGCCGCGCGCACGCCTCCATGCTCGCCTCTCAGGTACCGAACAATCTATGGCTTTATATCTTGTGTGCGCATTTTAGCTGTGCCTCGTGCGAGTTGGTCTGTCGCTGTCAGCTCACAGTTGCGCCTGATTTATTAATTTTCCAGGGATTGATTACCGAAGGCGATAGGAACGAGATTCTGAGAGGCCTCGATGAGATTGAGAGGCTGATCGAGAGAGGGGATTTCGCTTGGAGGACGGACAGGGAGGACGTACACATGAACATTGAAGCTGCGCTCACAGACCTGGTTGGCGAGCCTGCAAAGAAGCTCCACACTGCCCGGAGCAGGAACGATCAAGTCTGCACCGACTTTCGTCTCTGGTGTCGGGACGCGATTGATGGGATTGTTGCTCGTATTAAGCATCTTCAGGTGATTTTCTTCCTGTGACTTGTCTGTTTCTTCTTGTCCATTGCAAATGGAGCTGGAAGAGTCATTGTTGACAATTCTCCTGGCATAGTGCCAATAATGGACTAGATCAAAATGGTTCAATTAAATTCTAGTGCTTCTTCTATTAGTGAAGTTTCTAGAAAAAAAAAATATATCAAACGAAGCATTGCACCTTGGGTCGCTACGGAAACAGCCTCCTTGTATAATTACATGGGTAAGGTCTACGTACACCTGACCCCCCAGACCCCAACCAGTTGGGAATATACTTGGGAATATACTGGGTATGTTGATGTTGTACTTGTCTGTTTCTTGTTTTTCAGTTCAGCTTATGGCCTTATGAGCGTGGTAATTCTATTGCTCCTTTTAAAATATTGAAGTTTATATCCAGTCAGAGAATGATTATTATGGTAACTGATGACTTCCAAACAGGTTGTTTGATCAAGACAACAACCTGACTGTTGGATGCGAGTTATAATAATTAATGGTGTCCGTTCTGTCTAGGATCTTCTTGTCTTCCACTGAGTTGAAAAAGTATGCTGTGCTTCTGCAGGTTGCATTGGTGAAACTGGCTTTGAAGAACGAGAGTCTGATAGTCCCAGGGTATACCCATTTGCAAAGGGCACAACCCATTCTTCTGGCTCATCTTCTTTTAGCATATGTCGAGCAGGTAGGTTGGTTTCAGCAAAATATACTGTATATGATTAAGGCCTCCTTAGTTTCCAGAGATGATATGATGGTATATTTAGTATACATTGGGTAGGAAGTATACAAATTATATCTAAAAAGAGAAGCTTGTACCTATAAATTCTCAATTTGAACATTGAAAGTACATTTGATCCTTGTGAAAGTGTAATGTCGGGTTGTCCTTGTGAACGATGTTGTTTCTCTCTTCTCATACAATAATGGTCTTCTCTTTGTTGTTCATGAATTTCTTTGCATTTCTACTTTTCGTTAGTTACTCCTGTGTTCCTGCTTTCCCTTCAATGCAGCACAAAGACCAAGACGTAGGTAAGATAGGTCTTCTAGAAAAGAAAACCCCAGGGGTGCGGGGGTGGTTGGGGGGGGGGAAGGGGGTTGGGTTTTGAGTTAGGAGGTGAAGGACTTTATATGCTTTTCGTTCACATTCTTTGATCTTTTACTAACAACAAGTAAATGTATGTTGCCACAGGGTTGCGATTACAGTTTCTTCCCTTCCATTTGTTAACTTCAACACCTCCTTGATGAGGAAGCTTTCAGATGAAACTAGTGTCTTGGAGTTGTATTTGGTTACTTAGACATTTTACCATATTGCATAATAATTATAAGTAAAGTGGCTTGAGAAATAATGGGACAATCCTAGAATTATCTAACAAAGTAGGGTTAGTGCAGTGACTTGACACTCTATAAATAGGCAGTAGTCTTGTCATTTGTGTAGTGTCCCAAGTGCGAGTGTGTACTCTAAAATCTGTGTCCAGTGTGTGAGTTTAGAGCAAGCTTGTATCCCAAATGTAATTTGTGAGGTATGCTCCAAGTTTAGATAAATAGAGTGTGAGGGCATGTAAGTTGTTTTATTTTGTATTATGGTCTTCATGAATGAAGTTTGTATTTTGGCCCATGTTGTGCTACAATTCTTTTGTTAATATAATAAAGTAATTACGTTAATATCTGCATTTTTTTCATGTACCCAACCCAACACCATTAACCTTTTCTTATAAGTGTTTTTATTATATATTTATTAATTTATTATTCATAGTGCAAAATTCACTTAATTATTTATTGTTGTTTATTCAATTGGTGGGTTGGGAGGACCAGCTAATAATTTTCATCTTGCGACACATCCAATTTATAAATCTGCATTATCTATGGTTCAATGATGTGCTGCAGCTTGAAAGGGATGCTGGTCGTTTGCTAGACTGTCGTGTCCGATTGAATTTCTGTCCCTTGGGTGCCTGTGCATTAGCTGGCACTGGTCTGCCCATTGATAGGTTTATGACTTCTGAGGCTTTGGGATTCAATGCCCCCATGAGAAACAGGTATGGATTGTTTTCTATGTAAAGTTTAAAGGAGTCATCCATGCATATGCTATTCCTTACTGCATAATCTTCAAATATATGTATCCCTTCAGTTTGTGATTTGGGGTTTGCTCTTTGTGATTGAGACATACAATGAATTCTAATATTTTGCTTCTCCATTTCTTTATATGAATCAGCATTGATGCAGTTTCAGATCGAGATTTTGTTCTGGAATTCCTTTCTGCAAATTCCATCACAGCTGTCCATCTCTCTCGCCTTGGTGAAGAATGGGTATTGTGGGCGTCTGAAGAGTTTGGCTTCATTACCCCTAGTGATTCTGTTTCAACTGGAAGCAGTATAATGCCTCAGAAAAAGAACCCTGATCCAATGGAACTCGTCCGGGGAAAATCCGCTAGAGTTATTGGGGACCTGGTTTCTCTTCTTGTGTTGTGCAAGGGTCTTCCTCATGCTTACAACCGGGACTTACAGGTCAATATAACTCAATTAACTCTTGTATAATAAAATCACAATAAAACCCCCATCGAATTTGTTTGTTTTTTGTTAGCTAGTGTTCCCTACACTTGGTATATTTATACAATATTACAGTTGTGAACTTGAAAGATAGCTGTTTTTCCAGTCATTCTGCTATATGGTAGCTTGCGTTTCAAACTATTTCTTAGCTGCATTCTAAGTTCTCTTGATTATTTATTGATGTCAGTGTGGAAATCCATAACACTTTATCCGCCGTGAAACAGGAAGATAAAGAACCTGTATTTGACAGTGCCAAAACAATAAGGGGTATGCTGGAAGTTTCTACAGAATTTGCAGAAAATATCACCTTTGACCAAGAGAGGATCAGAAATGCTCTACCGGCTGGTCATCTTGATGCAACAACACTCGCAGACTATCTTGTGAAAAAGGTATTATCATATTATCATGAACCTTTCTTCAGCCTCAAAAGGTCTTCTTTTTATGGTAGACGAGATTATGAATATCATGAGCGCCTTTTGCTGACATCATAAGGAAAGTTTGAAAGACTGCAGAAAGAAAATAAGATCCGACTTCTGTACTATTTTAAATGCATGAACCGAGGAGATCAATATCTAAAGTCGGGATCTGTCGTATGTTATGTTGTTATCTATTTGTATCCGAAGAGTGGTACGTCTTTGATTGCTGAAGTTGTTGAGAAAGTTGATTTGCTTCTTTTTGCAGGACGTACCTTTTAGAACTTCTCATGATATTGTCGGTAGAGCTGTTGCCTTGTGTGTTTCAAGAAACTGCCAACTTCAAAATCTGACTCTTGCAGAGCTCAGAAGTATAAGCTCAGTGTTTGACGAGGACGTTTACGAGTTTCTTGGAGTCGAAAACTCAATAAAAAATTTCAGTTCGTATGGATCCACAGGCTCTGAATGCGTAGCCAGTCAACTCGACTACTGGGTAACCAAGTTGGAGTTGAACAGAAAATGAGAATGTTGATCTGGCTGGGATCGAATAATATACAAGTTTGTATTCAGAAAATTCTGTTGTTTTAGATGAGGATTCTGTATCTGCGTTCGCATTTATTTAGAACTTTTGTTGCATGTGTGCCTATGTGATTATGTGATAAGACTTCCCCCAACCATGGATTGACTCGTATAAATGGTGGAATATATGCAATGCTCTCTACTTCATCAGATTAGAAAATAGAGGTAATCCTGCTTGCGATTTACGTTTTAATTTGTCCCTCTGCACAAATAAAACACTTCCCTTAAGTGTTTTTTTACTGTCTCAGTTTGGTTTAATGGAGAGAAGGGGAGGGTAGAGATTTTAATGGATAGGAAAAAAATAGAGGGAAGATTGTTTTTTTGAGGAGGAAATAACTATTTTCACCTCAAAGATGCTAATAAATTTTTCCACACCGTCAAATAATAAGTTAATTCTTTCACCCCACAAAGTGCGAAACAAATTATGCGACAGACAAACGAATATGATTGATAAATTGCGAAATAATTACGCGATAAACTAAAGACATTCGAAGATAATTTATAAACTGCGAGATATTTACGGGACAGACAAACGAAGATAAATGATAAAATGCGAAATAGTTTTGCGATACACTATGCGACAAACATGTGAAAATAATTGATAGAGTGGAAAAATATTATGCGATAAACTATACGACAGACAAGCGGAGATAATCCGAGCGACCCCATTGCAAATGAGTAAATATCAAGGAATGAATATGCAGTTATTTAAACTCCAGATACTAAAATTGCAAATGTCTAAATAAAATGTAGACGTATCTACGTATCTCATCTAAATGTACTCTAGATAAAATTTGGATCTAAAACCCAATTTACTCATCTACGTACGTCACAATCTGCAATTGTCGCATGGAATGTGCCATTCATCTGGATGGATATGTAAGATATGTCCTCATATGACATATCTGAGGTTTCTACCCATCGTGCATGTCGACAGCAATCATGCGACAACTTATCCAAAAGAAAAAAAGGAAGAAAAGAATAAAGAAACATGGGGAGAAAAGAATGAAAGGAGAAAAGGGGCAAGATATATTCTTCTTATCTTCTCCACACCATGTTTTACCACCAACACTTGGCTTTCGAGGGCACACACATCCTTTTTCCTAAGTAATATTTAGGGAAGAACAAATTAACACGCAAAGGCAATTCCAAAAATAACTAATTGAAGATAAAACACTAGAATAGTCCTTTAGGTATGCAAAAGTAATTTTTAAAATCTGTACACAATCTTGTCCCTCAGTACTCCGAAGGAAGGGGAAAATAAATAAAAAGTAGGAGAAATATAGCACTTTGAGCCTATATGGAAGATTTGAGTGAAACTTGCCAGAAAGCACAAGCCCTTCTGTACACATCCACTCACACTACAGCAACACTAAAAGCAATTTAAAGATACAAATTAACACATCAACAGTAACATGTGAAAGAAGATTGATATTACTCATGAACTATTATTAATACGATTCTCCCATAGGCATCGCCATGTCAGCTATACAAAAAAAAAAGACTTCTATTAAGATATAAAAAGAGATGCTAAAATTTCTGTCGACTAACGTACTTCCGATAAAACAAGCGGACAAATTAACAATAGGAGGAATACAAAAAATAAAATATAAGAGAAACAGCAGGGTAAACAATTTGATACTACGTAGCATAAAATAAATAAAGTAGGACAACAGCAGTCGTTCGCTCAATCTTAAGGTCTGGGCTTGTAAATGCAAGAACCAAAACAAGCAATTTAGAGCAAGTCAGATTATCCTTAATTTAACAACATACCATTCATCCACAATGTTCTGCTATTGATTCACATAGGTTAAGGGAATATATGCCCGAACCATAAAATAAAGTAATCAGTACAGTTTAGAGAGGGAGAAATTTGAGCACGTAAAAGTCCTGATGGGTATGGAAAGAACGATCACCGCCGTAGTTCCCAAAAATCAAAAACATTTCCCATTGATTCACCACCTTCATACATGTTAAATTAAGAAGAATATTCCCCAGGGTCATTAGGCTGATTCTTCATCTTCCTACCACAAGGGGAATTGTTAGAGGAAGTAATTTTAATTGAAATCTTGATCTATTCCTAAAACCCCAAAAAAAAGCTCATTAGTGGCTACTAATTGAGTGTCAGCGAACATGTTTGTCATACTAGGACTTGATACGAAAGCTCTGATCGCTTTATTCTAATATTATGGACTTAATAATAGATTAAAAAGGGAATTGATGTAATGAAAACATTAAGAGCCAGAAGCATATGATAAACTGAGCTTAGATTATTCTATGCTCAATATATTCTTTCCTCAGTGATGGCCAAATGCAGACACAAATGAAACACTAACTGAACCGTTTAATAATAAAGACCCAACAACCAGTGAAATTCCACCGAGTCTGCATATGTAGGCATATCAAGCTTAAATAGCAGACATCAAATGAGAAGATGCACCCTTTATAAAATATGTTTAGACTTGGTCGACCTAACAACTCGAGCTATATGGATCATGTCAGTGTCCCAATTTGACCCAACAGACTAGCAAAACAGCATGTGTAGTATGTGCACTAAATATGGATGGCAATCATCCACGTGACTCGGCTAACTCCTGTAAATACTGCATTGGATCTTACATCACGATAACTTTAGGCATTTACTAAGACTCCCACTTCTTATGTTCCCATACTACCAAAACACAACATAGCTAAGTTATAGCAGGAGACAACCCGGCCCACCCTGCAGGCCGAACAACTATTCGCTACCCAGAGATCTCAATTGATGCTTGAGATTAATTAAGCATCACACAAATATGAATTGTTGTTTGTATATATTATCACGAAATCTCATGCATTTTGTTCACCTCTTGAACCATTATTATAACTGAATCAGAGTATCAATACAGAAAATTACGATGTAATTTGACACGAAAATTATACCACCAGGCATCACACTATTCAGCATGAAAGCAAATGGTGCCTGAAATCAGGAATTCCTCTTCTACATTCATATGCGTATAAGTTCAATGAGTAAGGATTCCAAAAGGTAAAGGCGTACATACAAATGACCAAAGCAAATTACCACCATTTTATTAATTGATCATAAAATCTGCAGGTTCTTACGGTTAGAATTAAAGTCAAGAGATAGGGGAGACGTAACCGCTAACGACGCCTTCTACTTGGCGTCCTTGTTGTTGCTCATCATCTTCTTGAACTCCTCGAAGCACACATAGCCGTCCCCGTCGGAATCCACGGACTTGATCATGCCGGCGCAATCCTGCTCGGAGCAGCGCTCGCCGAGGCGCGTGAGGATCTTGTGGAGCTCCGCTGCCGAGATCCTCCCGTCGTGGTCCTGATCGTACAGCTCGAAGGCCTCCCGGAGCTCCTTCTCCGCCGAGCGGTGAGGATCGGCGTCGCCGCTGCAGAAGGCGGCGAACTCCTGGAGGTTGATGTGGCCGTCCTTGTCGGTGTCTATCTCCTGCATCATGCGGGCGACCTCTTCGGGGGAGGTGTCGGATCCTAGGGCGGTGAGGACTCCGCGGAGCTCGTCAGCCGAGATCTTGCCGTCGTTGTTGGCATCGAAGCGCTCGAAGACCTTACGGACCTCATCCATGTTCTCGAGGTAGAGGGAAGGCTTGGAATCTGGGGTGGGGTTGGACGCCATTTTCGCCTGTTAATTTTTTTTTTCCTCTCTCTGTGGTCCTTTGTTCTTTGGGGATTTTGAGCGGTGGAGACGAAGAGATATATAGGAAAAGCAGAAGAGAAGATTCAGAAATTAAAAATACATAATTAGGAAAAAAAAAAAAAATGTTTTCTAAATAAAATAATGCTTTACTTATTTAATTTAATCGATGAGCAGAAGCATGAAGCAACCTTAAAGGGCCCCAAGAAACAGAGTTGTTCAGAGTAATAGTCAATGTCAGAAAAAACGGTAAATATTTATTTCGGCAATATTTTGTATGTATGTCGGTAAAGGGAAACAAAACAAAACTAAAAAAAAACCAAATTTGTCGTGGTCATTTTGTTTAGGAGATTTTTTCATACAATCTCGTATTTTCTTTAATTTTCTTTATATTTTTTTTTTTTACTTTGTCATGGATTTGGTGTTTTAAACTTCAATTTAACTCTCAATTTAATGATGTTATGGGTTTTGTTAATTCTAAAACTTAATTTGATAGTTTTATAACATTTATGTCCTATCCTGAATTGAGAAAAAATATCTTTTAAGCCCCGATTCGATAGTTCACTTATTTTTCAGGTCTTGTATTGAAAAAATCCCTTTTGTTTACGGCGGCGTTTATTATTATTTTTTTTTTGTGATACAATGAGAGGAGATAACCGAGAGGCGCAAACGTTCTGTGAGTAAGATATACTTTTTACATCATGCTCAAGCCATGGAACGACACCTGCGGGTGAGGTCGAAAGCCAATAAAAGCCTAGAGAAACCAAGGTCGCGTGAGATGCTAAGGGGGTGATTGTTTATCAATTCAAAAAAAA